CAGTCACTTCATGCCTTTATTGTTGTTGCTGTTAAATGCTGTTGAGTCAGTTCTGACCCTTAATAACCCTCTAGATGGTGTTCCTTCATATTTTCAATCACCTCATATGCTTGTGAAAGTTGGACAATAATTAAGGAAGACTTTAGAAAAAATGATGCATTTGAATTATGGTGTTGGTGAAGAATAGTGAAAGCACCATATTCTTCAATATTGAAGAACAAACAAATCTGTCTTAGAAAAGTACAGTCAGAATGTTCCTTGGAAGCCAGGATAGTGAGACTTCTTAATTTGTACTTTGGATGAGTTATCTCAAGGGATTAGTCCTTGGAGAACAACGTCATGCTTGGTAAAGTGGAGGATCATCGAATAAGAGGAAGACCCCCAATGAGATGGATTGACATGGTGGCACCAACAGTGGGTGCAAGGATAACAATTATGAGGATGGTTCAGGACCAGGAAGTGTTTTGTTCTGTTGTGCGTAGGGTTGCTCTGTGTCAAAACCGATTCAATGGCATCTAACAACAGCACTTAACAGGTGTTGAAGTTATGTCATTATTTTGTGATTCATCTATCACTTCAGTAACTGTAAGCTCTGAAGGAATGGGGGTCTTTTCCAGTGTGTTCACTGCACTAGCACAGCGCTTAGGACAGTGTCTGGTACACAGTAGGTACTCAATCTAGATTTGTAGAATGAATATTAAAAGGAAGTTGATGGTAAGTAGGCAACTGGATATGTAAGTCTGAAGCTCAGAGGAGAGGAAACGTCAGACCTGAAGATCCATATGTAAGAGTGTTGCATAAAGATGACACTGAAGTCCACTGGCATTGATGTGAATCCCTTATATTTAAGGAAGAGAGGAGAAGAAGGCTCAGGACTGAACCTCAAGAAACCCCAGAATTTACAGTTTATCTGTCAGTTGTCACTTTCAAATTGGTATCTTCCACTTTTACTACTTCCTTCTCTTCCGCTGTAAAATTGCCTTTTTTAATTTTCAGAGCTCTCTCCTTTGCAAAAGGAACCCTGGTAGCATAGTGGATTATGAGCTGGTCTGCTAACTGCAAGATCAGTAGTTTCTCACTCCATGGAGAAAATGAGGCTTTCTGCTCCCATAAAGATTTACAGCCTTGGAAATCCTATACATGTTGCTGTGAGTTGGAGCCAACTCCATGGCACACAACCACCACCACCACCATCTTCTTTATAAAGCTGTGCATTTCTCTGTTTTCCCAATGAAGATCAAACATATCTTAACAGTAGGTTCTCTAGTCAGAATGATATGCTTAAATTGGATTGTGTTTGACTTGGCTTGGACTGGAGTGAAAAGTATTGTGTGGTGCTGTGGGTTAATGCACTGGACTGCAAAGTCAGTATGAACTACAAAGTAGGTGGTTCAAGCTCACCAGCCACTTCTTGGAAACCCTATACAAAGATGCTATAGATTGGAACCGACTCGACAGCATGTAACACTATAGAATCTGGAGTCCTAGTATGGTTCTGTAGGATAAGCACTAAACAACCAAACACAAGGTTGGTGGTTCAACCCCACCAGTCATTCCTTGAAAATCCTATAGGGTTACTATGCATTGGAACTGACTCTACAGCACTTAACAACAACAGCACCAATTATAGAATTTTAGCCACTGAAATGCCAGTGCTAAAACTGAGAGACTGGATGAACAAATGGACAATGGTCGGACCATATATAAATACAGAACTCTGACACACAATCTGCACCATCCAACTCAAAGTCAAACCAGTTCAGGAAGCCAAACAATAATTCTTGTATGAATGTGCCTACAATGGCCAGAATTTGATTAATAACTGAATACTTCCTTAATTTTTGTCACTGCTTCCAACTTAAGACCAACTGAAGAAAGCCAAATATGGCCTTCTAAGCAATCATATAGGATGCCTTGCTCTGTTAGTTTCCCTATGCCAACAGCCTCCTCGGTGCATTTCTGAAGACTTCCTCTTTTCCTCTATAAATCTTTCCCACTCCTTGCCTGATTGAAATGACTCCCTGACTAAAGCGAGCCCTAAATAAACAGCCTTCACTTGGTCTCATGTGAGTGATCTTTGTCTATTTGTGAAAAATGCATTGGTATTTCAAATTAATGGACACCGTGGCCAAGGTTTTAGTGAGTTATTATTAAGTTTTTATTGTGAATTGAGTGACAGTTTACATGGGAGGACATCGATTTTACATTCATCATTTTATTGCAATAATTATTATTCCCTCTGCACATCATCATTCAACAGTATTTACTTCTATTCTTTCTGGGTTTTTTTGGAGGGAGGGATGTACACAAAAACACTCAGGGATATATAATCATTTAAACAACCAAAGGACACATTCTGCAAGCCTGCCTCCGGGCCTCCAGCACACAGCCTTTCTCTTTCCATGAGTCTAGAGTCCTCAACTGCTCTCTCTCTCTCCATGTCTTCATCTCTGCCTCCATCTCTGGTGTGGCTGCTTCTCTGGATAGGGTCCCACATTCCGCTCATGCTCTTCTCACTTCCGCTTGTGCTTTTCTTCCTTGGTGGTCCTAAGGTCCTCTGTTCCTGGACTGCAAGATTAACTGCTCCCCCCTTTTTGTTACAAAACTTTTACCTTTACATTTGTTAACAGTTGCAATTAGTCATGATAACATTTATTCACTATTGAATCATAAGAATCCTATCCCCATCTCCTTTCACGAGACCCATCTAGACAAGATAAAAACTATTCAGTGGGGATTATACCTTCTCCCGTACACTCTGAAACTAAACTCCCTCTTGAAAACTTGTAAACCAGTCACTTTATGCCTTTATAGCACCCCCATTTTAGGTAACCAATGTCTAAGTTGCCCGTCCCTATCAACTCTATATACAGAGGGGATAGGATTAATACTTGATGTGAAAACTCCTTCCATCTCAGTTGGTATTTTGAGCTACTACATCCATTAGTTCATCAAATTGTAGTAATTTACACTTGTTTCCTTTATCAAAAATTGTTTTTATTATCTTCCTCTAGTCGAGTTCTGATCATCATGCCATCGAGGCTAGGTTGAATGAGCACTACCTACAACTTTGGGTATCCTTGTGTGTCTCTCCTCACTTAATATCAGCTGGATACTTCACTATCAGCTCTAACCCTCTGTGGCTATGTCCTTGTCCATGGGTTCAGGAGTCCCCAGGTCCCACCACACTTCAGAACAACCAGTCCTTCCTCTTCTCTCTCTCATCTCCAGGTCAACGGGAGTCTATGAAATGTGGTCAAATTCAGCATCATTGTTGCCTTTCCCCCTCTTCCACTCACCAGCTGACCAACGTGGTCACTAGCAATCTTACATGCCTGCTCATGTGTTCCCTTTGAGTTTCAGTCTTGGAGGGGGGTTTGTCCTGAAGGGACTTTGGCTCCCTGGCAAACAACTTGCTTATTCTTGTAGTAGCCAATCTGATTGCCATTTTTGTTTTGGATTTTTCTTTCAAGAGCACTATTATTTTTAAAAAGCTTTTTTTTTTTTTTTTAAGGCTTTTAAAAATGTATTTAATAAGAAAAGGGGTGAAAAAATATATAAAACACATGCCAACGCAACAATTTCTACATGCACAATTCAGTGACATTGAATACATCCTTCAAGTTGTACAACCATTCTTGATATCCTTTTTCAAATTATGCTACCACCATTATATAAACTCATTACTCTCTTTTTACCCTCACTTAAACTGTGGATTTCTGTTAGGTGACATAGAATTGGTTCCAACTCGTAGAATACTATACATAACAGAACTAAACACTGCCTGGTCCTGTACCATCCTCACAGTGATTGTGAGGCTTGAGCCCATTCGTGCTGCCACTATTCCACTCCATCTCATGGGGGTCTTCCTCTTTTTTGCTGACCCACCACTTTACCAACCATGATGTCCTTCTCTAGGAACTGGACTCTCCGATAATATTTCTGAAGTATGAGAGATGAAGTGTCAACATCCTGGCTTCTAAAGAGCATACTTAGATTTATTTATTCTTCTGGCAGTCCACAGTGCTTTCAATATTCTTCTCCAACACCGTAACTCAAATGCATCAATTCTTCTGCTCTTTTCCTTATTCCTTGTCCAACTTTCACATGCATATAAGGCAATTGAAAATATAATGACTTGGGTCAGGTACACCTTAGTCCTGATAGTTTCGGTTTTGAACACTTTAAAGAGGTCTCGGGCAGCAGATTTGCCTAATGCAATGCATCATTTTGTTTCTTGGCTGCTGCTGGCATTAGTGCTAATTTTAGAGCCAAGCAAAATGAAATCTTTGAGAACTTCAATCTTTTCTCTGTCATGACATTATTTGCTGGTTTAGTTGTGAAGTTTTTTTGTTTGTTATCCCACTTCCTCCTTGTGATTCTTTTTCCATTCCACCTTCTTTCCCAGCCATTCTGAATTTTGTCCTTAGGTAAGTGCTCTTCTTTTGATCTTGAATGGTTGATCATTCCATGGTGCGCATACCTTACTAGTGTTGTTGTCCCCCCTATATACCTATTTACCACTTGACTGAAAATTGGGTCAGAAGGGTGAGTTCAGTTCCAGACCTGAAGGGTGACCAAGGGACATAATTCCAGGTTCCTCCAGTCTTTTTCTGAAGTAAGTTTGATATTTTTTGTAATTCTGAATTTTGTTCTACATTTCATTCTACTCTATCCAGCACTCTCTAATGTGATTCCTTTCAGAACAGTTGGTTGTAAATAGCTGGACACTGTCTAGTTCTTCTGGTCTCTAGGTCATGGAGACTGATGTTCATGTGTTCTATTAACCAACTGAACTACTTGATTCCAACTGTCATCAATTTTCATCACTTTAGTGAATTATTATTAACCTTCTTTTTACAGAGGTATGTTTTTGCTCCCAAATGAATCATCATATTCAATTCAAAAATCAAACTATGCAAACCTACAGTGTTGTAAATTCAGTTTGTGAAAAATGTCAACACTGATTGATAGAATTTTAATTTTCTCTAATCTCTCAGCATATTGATAGAAACTTGAAACATATTGGACTTCAGGACATAAAGGAAAGTAAAATTCCAGAACAAAAATACAAAGCTAAGGTAATAAACGTTTTGATGTTTTGCTTCCATATTAAAACACTGGTTAGGGGTTTATACCATTTTATCTGGGTCATCTTTTTATCTGGGTAACCTACTATTTCATGGAATTGCCTTATCTTGTAACATTATACTAATGGTTTTCAGTATCTGTAGTGTCAAAGAGGAAACCTGGTGATGCAGTGGTTAAAGCACTTGGCTGCTAACCACAAGGTCAGCAGTTTGAACTCACCAACTGTTCCACAGGAGAAAGATGAGACAGTCTTCCACAAAGATTTACAGCCTTGGGAACGAGTATTGGAGGAAGAGTGGGAACATACCCACAAATATATAAGAATTTGGAAGAGCATATTTGTACATGGGTATTTTACGTTTCCTGAAAACACACCAATGACTATGGTGGAGCAAACAGCAGGAAAACTTACTAGATATTATCAAACATCTTAAGGCAATGAGTTGCTGGGCATGGGGGATCATAGCCATAGTTTTAGGGGATGCCATGGTCAGTTGGCATAACATAGTCTGCAAAGACAGTGTTCAACATCCTACTTTGATGAGTAGTGTCTGGAATCTTAAAAGCTTATGAGTGGCTATCTAAGGCCAATACTGGTCTCTCCATGTACAGAAGAAAGAAAAGTGATAATAATTGAAGATGCTTGGAATCAACTAGTACAATGAACCAATGGAGCAGTTAAACATCAATCACTGTGACTCTGAGATCAGAAGACTAGATGGTGCCCAGCTACCACTACCAACTGCTCTGAAAGGGATCATGTTAAAAGGTCCCAGATAGAGTGGGAGAAAATGTGTAAAAATGGTTGGGCTTATTGGTCAGAAAATGACTGGAGGAACCTGAAAGTATGGGCCTTGACCACCCTTCAGGTCTGGAATAGAACTTGCCCTCTTGGCCCAATTTTCAGCCAAGCAGTAGATAGGTATACAGGGGAGACAACAAACAGCACTAGTAAGGTATGCTCACCATGGAATGGTCAATCATTCAAGATCAAAAGGACAACATTTACCTAAAGACAAAGTTGGGAAGAAATGGGAAAGAGGGTAGAATGAAAATAGGAACCACAGGCAAGAAGTGGGATCATGTTTTGCATGGAAGGGATTGAAATCATTGAGATGAAACAAAGCATATGATTTATTAAATGTAAAACTGGTGATTCTCTCTGTAAACCTTCACTGAATTCACAACAAAAAGTTAAAAGAAAGAAAGAGTTACAGCCTTGGAGACCCTATAAAGCAGTTCTATTCTATTGTACAGGGTTGGTATGGGTCAGACTCAGACTTGATGGCAGTGGGTGTAATGTCAAAGAAAATTGACCTAGGGAATTCTATTTTTAATTGTTGGATTGTTAGTTTACTGGATTGTTAACTAATATTATTTTTCTTGCTTTCTTCTAGAGAGGGGTAAAGTTTGAAATTAATTTAGACAAAAGTGTGTCTAAAGAAAACTTCTTACAAGAGGTATGCCATGAAGTACATAGTTCCGTTGCTGTTGTTGTTGTATTGTCCAGTCAATTCCAACTCATACTGACCCCGAGCACAACAGAACAGAACACTGCCTGGTCCTGAACCATACTCACAATTGTTGTGATGCTTGAACCCATTGCTGCTGCCACTGTGCCAATCAGTCATGTTGGGTGTCTTCCTCTTTTTCACTGACCTTCCACTTTACCAAGCACGATGTCCTTCTTCAGGGAATAGTCCCATCTGATAATATGTCTAAAGTATGAGAGATGAATCCCACCATCCTGGCTTTTAGGAGCATTTGGCTGTACTTCTTCCAAGACAGATTTGTTTATTCTTCTGGCAGTCATGGCACTTTTAATATTCTTCTTCAAAACCATAACTCAAATGCATCAATTATTCTTCAGTCTTCCTTATTCACTGTTCAAATTTCATATGCATTCCGTTAATGGACATTAAAAAAAAATGAGTATATCTTAATAGTATGTTTCATGAAATTGTTTCACAGGCTGTATGGAGAATTTCTCTAAATATTCCTAGAAAGATTTCTGGTTATCAAAATAGTTCTCCAAAATACTGTTTTACCCTCCCCACTCTTTTTTTAGGTTATTTCTTTTGATTATTCCATTTTAATTAATTTTTTAAAATAAAGGAATGGTTCCTTATAATATTAATATTTTATCGTATTAGCTTTTATATCATACCAAAATGTGTACGTATCTTGACATGATACATGTTCAACACTTAATATACTTAAAAAAAAAATACAGCAGGACCTTGAAACCATGTACATTTGTTTTATAAATAAATTAGTTTTTGATAACTTGTAAAAGTATCTGGATAAATTTCTGTTATGCATTGGGGCTCTCCTTCCTAATTCCATTGCATGAATACAGTGCACAAATACAGTAAATCCAAACCTGATTTTATTATCTGATTTAAGCATCATATTTATCCCACTTTTTCCTAGAGCTACTAACAAATATCAAAATGAGCTGATTTGTATTTTCATTTCACCTTCTCTAAATTTGCCTTTTATATGGGGAGTCCATGGGTGGTGTAAATGGTTAAATGCTCCACTACTACTACTAGACAGTTGGCAATTTGAACCCACTCAGGGGTGCCTTGGAAGACAGGCCTGGCGATCTGCTTCTGACAGGCCACAACCTTGGAAACTCTCAGGAACAGTTTTACTCTGCACATATGGGATCACCATGAGTCAGAATTAACTTGATGGCAGCTAACAAGAAAAAGTATATATAAATATTTATATCTCTCTGTGTATATGTATGCATGTGTATATGTGCATACAGTATATATATATATATATATTTCTCAACATACCCTCTATCTAGGTGTATACTTTTCTGAAGATGGTATTTCCATTTCTTTAACTCTTCACCAAAGAATTCTGTATGTTTGGATTTATACCACATTAGAACAGAAGTTTGGGTATCCTTCAGGGACTAAGATCATGTTCCTTTTTAATATTCTTTGAGCCTGGAGAACAAAAAGAAGTCTGAAGGGACAAGATTAGGGATGTAGGATTGAAGGATGAATGCGGTAAGATTTCCTAGTGAAATTCTCATAGGACAGCCCTTTCTAGCCTAGAACAATGGGTAAGTGGATTGGGATAGAACAAAATTCTTTGATGTACCTTTCCTGGCCTTCTTCTTTTCACTGCAGCTTTCAGTTTTCTTAAAATTTCTTCATAGTAAGCCTCAATGACTCTCCTGAGTCCTTCGGGAAAATCATTACCAGAGCAGCTGAACTCTCTGTCTTAAATTTAACTGACCTGTCATATCCCCTCAGAAGCCACTGTTTTGATTGGATCCAATTTGTAAGCCCAAGATTCATCTCCATTTACAATCCCATTCATTTCATAAAATTGTCCTCATTCATTTCAATCTTGTTTAAAACACTGGCAGAAAGATCAGTTCTTTGACCTAGTTGATCTTTGTGCAATGCTTTGAGCACTCATCAAGCTGAAAGCTTGCTGAGACCAACGTGTTCACTTAAAATTGGAAATGTCGAGCCAGATGAAATCCCAATTTCAGTAGTGATTACATCAGTGGTCACTATGGCCTTCTTCCATCAGTGTCTGGACTTCTTCCAAAGTTCCTTCATTTGTGGATGTTGACAGTGTTCTTGGCTCATGTTTGAGGTCTTCCCAACCTTCATTAAGACACTTGATCCATTGAAACACTAGTGTTTGAAGTGGGCAGCATTCCTGTGAACTTACAGTATGAGGGTTTACAGAACAGATCATCAGTTTTACATTCAATAAAGCGTACGCTTCATTTCAATTCAGTAGTTGAAATTCTCTCCCTCCCATCAGTTATCTCACTTGCTTCTTGTTTTTATTTCTATTTCCATCCTCCTTGCTAACGCTTCTGAAGTTTGTCCTTAGATAAATTCTGCCCTTTTTATCTGGAATGGTTGACCATTTCATGGTGAACATACCTTACTAGTCTTGGTGCCCCTGCTCACACTTCTGTATGCCTGTCTAACACTTGGCTTAACATTGAGCCAATAGGGTGAGCTGTTCCAGACCTCCATAGTTTCAGACTCCTCCAGTCTCTTTCTGACCAATAAGCTCGGTCTTTTTTATAATTTTGAATTTTGTTCCACGTTTCCTCCCACTCTATTCAGGACCTTGTAATGCGCTCCTTTCAGAACAGTTGGTAGTGTTTGTTGTTGTTAAGTGTCGTCAAGTCGACCCTGTATAGGGTTTCCGAGAAGCAGCTGGTGGGTTTGCAACTTTACGGTTTGCAATTCAGTGCTTATCCTAGCATGCCCCATCAGGACTCTGAAATCCTAGTAGCAATACTCTTTTACTTACCCTCATATATGTGTGTGTGTACATAGTTGGTGTATAATTACTATATGAAAGAGTTCATGAAAGAATTTTATTATCTTTTGATTCCATTTTCCCATAAAGTTTTGAAGCCCCCTTGTATATGGTAAGGAGCCATGGCGAAACTGTGGGCTACACACTGAACTGTTACCCTCAAGATCAGCCATTCAAAGCCACCAGTTGATCCATGGCATGAATATGAGGCTTTCTGTTCACATAAAGACTTGCTGTCTCAGAAACCCTATAAGAGATGCTATGAGTCAGAATCATTCCACAACAGTGGATTTGGTTTGGTACATGGTATATTGTGTGCCATCGAGTCAGTTCTGGCTCATAGCAGTGCTGTATAGGGTTTCCTAGAGTGGCTGGAAGCTTTAAACTGCCTATCTTATAGTTAGCAGTCCAGTGATTATCCTACAGCGCCACACCAGGGCCTTGTATATGGTATATTTATGAGCATATCACACTTGATATTCAATTTCTTTCACGTCTTTTATGAACTTTATTATGTTTATGTTTTCATTTCTCTCCTTTTTTATAAGCATTGTGCTACATAAGACCTGATGAATCATAGTTAGAGCCCAGCTCTATTTTGCCATTAGGCTCTAGGTGCCCCAAAGCTGTGGAGGGCATAACTGGGTCTGTTTCTCGGTAGGAACCCAAGAAAAAGCACCACCACAGTGCTTGTGTGACATAAGGCTCAGAAGATGGCCTGCTAGCATCAAAGAAAGGGTCGAGAAAGTTGAATTCTCCAAGGTGTTCTTTTTTTGCTATACCATCTTTGGTGTTTCTGAAATAGAAGTGATTCCTTTAGTATTGACTGTGGAGTATTAGGAACAGTTTAAGGGCCTGATTAGAAATGTCACAGACTCAAAGCAAGGTGTGGATGAGGTAACCTTGAGAGTTCGGCAGAAGGAAGCTGAAGTAGAGTAGTACCAAAGGCAGTAACTCTGGACGAAATAGTGTTGCCAGATGTTCCACTGACTGACAAGGAGCCGAAATGAAAACAATTCTGTTTCAGTGTTATTCCAATATATTTCTAGTTTTAAAATTCTACTGATATTTATATGTTTAATAAGCATATATTCAGTGCTTAACATATGTCTTACTGAACGGTATAACAGAGAACACACACACACACATTTTTTTCAAAATATGGTTTATATCTCATGAAAACTCCATGGAATTGCTTTAGACAATGGACATACTAAATAAAACCCTGACCTTTGAGGATGGCATGAAGTTTAAGGAAGAAAAAATTATGAAACAGCATGAAGATTACATAGACAAAGCATTTGAACAACTCTGTTGCCCAAAAGCAGGTATGTGTCCCATGAAAACTACAGGTGAGAGGGACCATTTTACTAGCAACCATGGGAACTCTCTCCTCACCTGGTTCCCACAGTCCACAGTCACCTGCTCCCTCTCTGCTGGGCTTCTGTGACTACAAGCTCCCGCCTCCTGCTCACCCCTGCAGCATTGGCAGTCTCTGAGACTCTGCCCTCTCCCTCAGCGCCAGCTTCTACCTGGAGCTCTACACTTTAGTATCTTTCTTAGTATCTGCTGGGAAGTCTGTGAACCAGCTCCACTAATGTCTCAGTTCGTCTTGTTGTACAATCAACGTGGTAATGCCTCCTTCCCAACCTGCTCCTCATCCACTGGTTAGACCTTCATTTTAGTTAAGCAGCCTCACCATCCCGACAGTTCACGCTTCACACTCAGGGTTGTGTCTCTTTCTTTGCATTCCCACAGTGACTGGTTTTGGTCACTGTCGTATTACATGTTTGGCTGCTACTCAAAAAAATCGGGGGTATGATTTTGATTTTCTTCTATTTATCTGATTTTTAACTTCCTGTGATGAAAACACAGTCATAAAGGAAACCAAAATACAAGTGAAACCAAAATACAAAATACAAGGTTGTAGTCCAGTGGAAATGGACTAAAGTAAAAGACCTCAGACCTATTTCAGGAAAGTTTCTATTTGTGCCACTGTTTTTCAGCATTTAGATATGTTGCTGACCAGTCAAGCATTAATGATGACAGTGAAAACCTTTTAAACCTGCTTATCATTTCCATCTTCTAGTTACGATCTGTGTGTGAATGAGGGGGAAGCTTCCTGTCTTGAAAAGGGTTACACAGTGACCACATTAACTGCTTATCATTTCCATCTTCTAGTTAAGATCTGTGTGTGAATGAGGGGGAAGCTTCCTGTCTTGAAAAGGGTTACACAATGACCACATTAACTGCTTTTGACTTAACCAAGCTACTTTCTTACACCCAGAGCTGCTCAGTCCAGAAACTGCTGCTGCAGACAGTCGGGGACAGTGGAATTCTGGAGCCCCGCAGACCCTGCTGCGAATGATGGCAGCGGCTGACATCACCTCCACCTGTCCCAGTGAACCTGCTGGTGAAGGTAGGATCACACTAACTAGCATGCATTGTTTGCGGGGAAGACCCAGGCTCCCAGCAAAACTGCGTTCTAGCACCCACTCTGATGGGATAGTTCTCACTTTTCAGTACAGTCTCTATGGAGTTTGAATCAAATACCTTTCAAAGATAATATTTTGTTTGCCTCTGCCTCCAGAGAGACTTGCCTGCAAATTATCCAGACTGTCCTAACTCTGAAAGTAAGGAGGGAAAATCTAGGATCCCACCTGTCTTACTACCTAGTGCTACTGTAACACAAATGCTGCCAGTGTGGGGCTTTAAAGAACAGAAACTTATGTTCACAGTTCTGTAGCTAGAGGTCCCAATCAGCTATGACCATTGCTTCCTTGTCAATAGTCCTGGGTGTTCCTCTCTTTCCTTGGCTTGGGGCCATCCTTACCTGGTATATATCTGTCCCATCTATGTGTCTTTGTCTCTACTCTGTTCTTTTTATAACTCAGAACTGATCAGACTATTTACCTTAACCATGGTCTCATCAACATAGCAAAGCTAACCCTATTTCCAAACAGGATCACTTCCACAGGTATATTGTTGTTAAGTGCCATCCAAGTCAGTTCTGACTCATAGTGACCTTGTGATGGGGTTTCTAAGATGCAACTGGTGGGCTTAAACCACCAACCTTGTGGTTTACAATCCAGTATTTATTCTACAGTGCCACATCAAGATTTCATTACATATTTTGGAGGAACACAATTCAGTCTGTAACACCACCTTCCTTGTAGTCAGGAGTATGTGTAGAAAGGATGGGCAGTAGACTTGATTAATATCTGCTAGCACGATAGATATCTTTGCAACTTCTTGGAGTGTTGGTATTTTCATCAGTAAAATTGGAATACATTTAATAGCTATCCCATAAGACTTAGAAAGTTAATAGTGCCTATATATCTGATTCACAGGGACCCTATATAGGGTTTTCGAGGAGCAGCTGGTAAGCTAAACCACCAACTTTTTGGTTCAAACCTATTTTGCAG